CCCCGGGAGGCTAGTGCAATGGTTTGGGGCGGCGGCGGCGGCGGCGGCGGCGGGTGGGAGGCTGCCCGGGCAAGCCGGTCGATTTCCTCTCTTCCCTGCAGCCTGGCCTGGGGGGGTCTTGGCCGCCAGAGATTCGCCAGATGTTGGACTCCAGGCAAGCTTGCTCCTGGGAGGTGGGGTGGTTAGGTCAGGGGGCGGCGGCAGCGGCAGTGGGGCGGAGCGGGGCTGCCCCTGGCGAACTGGTGGAATAGCTGCCTTGTCCCGGCTGCCGGGCGTGGGAGCGGCCTCTGCTGCCCCAGGTCGCTGGACACGCTTGTCCCACTCAGCTTGCTGAGTGCGGAGTGGGAACGGTGCCAAAAAGGTGCGGGACCCACGGGGGTAAGGGGGCTGCCGCGCGGAAGCCGGTCAATTCGCTCCGCTCTCCCCCGCGGCGAGCCTGGGAGCGGCCTCCGCTGTCCTAGAGGCGGGACGCGGGTCTCCAGGTGAGCTTGCTCCTGGGAGGCGGCGGCGGCGGCGCCAGGGGGAGGGGGACCGTTCCAGGTAGCTGCTCCATTTCTTCTCTCCCCCGCGGCCTGGCCTGGGGGCGACCTCTGCCACCGGAGATTTGCCTGAGGTCTGTCTCCAGGAGAGCTTGCTCCTGGGAGATGGGTGCGGTGCGGTCAGGGGGCTGGTAAGGTGATGGCTGCGGGGATAGGGAGGCTGCCCCGGGGGAGCCTGTGGACTAGCTCCCATGTCTGTGTAGCGTGGCCTGCAGGCGGCCTCTGCTGCGCCAGGTCCCGGAACACCCCTGTCCCACTTTGCCTGCTGGGGGCGGGAGGCAGGGTAATCAGGGTGCAGGGGTGGCGGGGGTCGGGGGCCTGCAGCGGGGGAGCGGGCCCATTTGCTCCCATCTTCCCCGCGGCTTGTCCTGGGGGCGGTTTCTGTTGCCCTGGGTTACAAGACACGTGTATCCTAGTCGGCCTGATCCCGGGAGGCGGGCGTGGTACGTTGGGGTTGGTGGCAGCAGTGGCAGGTTTTCCTATGGAGCCAGTCCATTTGCTCCCATTTCCCCCCATGGTTTGTCCTGGGGGCGGTCCCTGTTGTCCCAAGTTCGCCGGACGTCAATCTCCAGGTCAGCCTGCCCCTTAGAGGAGAACGCCATGAGGTCAAGGGGCAAAAATGGTGGCTGCTGCGGGGGTAGGGGGCTGCCTTGGGGAGCTGGTGAATTGGCTCCCTTCTCCCCTATGGCCTGGTGTGGGAGTGGCCTCTCCTGCCCTAGGTCACCAGACACACCTGTCCCATTCAGCCTGCTGGGGGAGGGGCGCCCTAGGCGGTGCCTTTAAGGTGCGGGGGGTGGCGACTGCAGAGGTAGAGGACCTGCAGCGCGGGGCCTGTCAATTTGCTCTCCTCTTCCCTGCGGCCAAACCTGGGGGCGTCCTCTGCTGCCCAAGAAGCCGGAGGCCCGTCTCCAGGTCAGCTTGCTCCTGGGAGGCGGGCGCGATGCGGTCGAGGGACAGAGGCAGCTGCCACGGCCAGCATCCCCGCCTAATGGGGCCACTTCTCCTCTCCCCTGACCTGGCCTGGGGACGGCCCCTCCCGCCCAAGTTTCGCCTGACACCCCACACCCGGTCAGGTTGCTCCTGGGAGGTGGGCTCGGTGAGATCAGAGGGTGGAGAGGAGAGGCGGGCTGCCCCTGGCGAACTGGAGGATAAGCTCCTATCTCTCTGGAGGCCTAACATGGGGGCGGCTTCTGCTGCCTCTCATTCCCAGGTCACCCTTCTCCGGGTCATATTGCCCCAGGGGTGCGGTAGGGTGCGGGGGCGGTGCGGTGTTGGTGGGGGTATGGAGCCTGTTGCTTGGGAGCTGGTGGTTTAGCTCCCATCTCTTCCGCAGCTTGGCCTGGGGGCAGCCTCTGTTGCCCCAGGTCGCAAAGCACGGTTTCCCTGACAGCTTACCACCGGAGGTGGGCAGGATGTGCTGAGGGGTCGGAGGCAGCTGCCAAGGCAGCGACGAAGGGGGCTGTCCCTGGCCAGCTGGTCAATTTGTTCCCATCTCAACCTTTGCTCCCCCAGTTTCGCAGAA